TCAGTGACGACATGGCAGGCCGCTGTCATATTCTCGTTCCAGTCAGCCGAGAATGCGACTGTGTTGAAAACAGTAAGCGATATATCCCAGGAGCTGGATATGCCCGCAACTCTTGCCCGCAGTGCCTGTTTATTCTGGCTAAGCAAGCGCATCCTCATACAACCGCAACTTGACACCTTTACAGTCCTTGAAACACTGCCTGATGATGAAGATTCTAAAATCTCATCCCAAGAGCAAGCACAAGCTCAGTCAAACTCGGACGCTAATGCTGCCGCTGCAGCAGCTGCAGCTGCTGCAAAGGAAGCGGCCGAGGCTGCCACAATGGCGAAAATGGATCTGTACTGGCAGTTCATTAAGGGTATGCTTACGAATCAAGGTGCTATGCCTCTACAGCGTATTGTCATGATGTTAAAAATAGCTGTTCCTGGGGGATTCCCCTTTAGCAGTGAGGAGCTTAAACAGTTCATGGGAAAGATGGTTTCAAACGGGGACCTTGAGATGGTCAGCGGCGGAAACTATAAGATTGTATGATAGACTTTATTTATCAATACGGCTATAGAAGTATTTGTACTGCAAAAAACAGGTAAGCTGCAAATTTTCTTCAATGTTAGTAGTTGAAAGTAAAACCTCTTAATTCGGCGCTGCGGTTGAACTAAACAGCCCAATGAAGGCACAGAGGGAAGTTTAAAATAAGCTTAACTGTATTTCAACCTCTATCCACGAAATGTTATTGAACTTGCAATTCTAACCCAAGCTCACTCAGAATTCTCTTAATCGTACTCTATTTTTTTCCCTTGCAGTACCTTCAGAATGCAAATGAGCAACTCTCCACCGTCTAAAACCTTTAACTGAAGCCCAGCCACCGATGGATCATCAGCCTTAACCAGCTGGCCCTCATGAATGACCCAGTCACCCAAACAAATTTTACCATCGTCATGATTATTTCCAAATACTTCCATATTCAGTTGAGCCATAAGACCCGGAATTGCCTGGTAGATATATTTCATGTTCTGCCTGGTGCTGAAGGTGTTTTCGACGTACAGCCGAAACAGTCGAATAGTTTTTGTTGCTCCGACCCTTTTCAGCCTCCCTAAAGCTTGCTGTTCAACAGAAATTGGAGCGGAGTCCCAAAATACCAGATTGCGGCAATGACCTTGCAGATTTAGCCCTGTGCAACACACCCAAAAAGACGTTATTAGAATATAACACTTATTTGGAGACTTATGAAACGTATCAGTCAAGATTTGTCGGTCTTCCACCTTTAAACCCGCCCTATACGAATGGGCATCGAGGTCGAGATGCTGTAGGACCTAAGGAGTAAAGTTAGTGGATTACCGATGAAACAAGGATTTAAGAGCTATCCATACACTCTCTAACCAAAGGACCTGTGCCGGCATGGTGGCAAATATCAATAGCTTTTCTTTGCGTAAGATAACCAACTCTGCCACTAACCGTAGTAGATATCGTAGTTTTGGCGACCCGCGACAGTGGCTAGTCAGTATCCCTTTGGGGTCATCTGGTGAAGGAAGTGGATATATCTGGGTAGTAAGAAGTGTTTCGGGTGAATCTACCATGCGGTAGGGAGTTTGTCTCTTTGCGTTGTAAACATCCTGTAGGATCGCGTGTGCAGACAGTACCCTCTCTTTTCGACGCTCCTTCAACTTCTTTGCTGTATATGACGGGGCAAGAGGGTCAAACTCCGTCCAAGAAGTGACCAGGCAAAGCCTTCGAAACTTTGAGGCACTTAGCAAGCCTGGGTCATCATGACTCTCATCAGGACTGTCATCATTTCCATCTTTGTTCTTCTTCCGTCGACTCTTGGAACTTTGTTCCACACAATGGCTTATACTTTCGTATATCGTTTGTTCCTCAGGAGTGAACGCAAGGTGGACAGATATATTTTGAACAGCTGGCAGAGCTTTACCCACAATCTGGCCATCAACTACTGATCCATATGATCTCTTGATCATACATGTTTTCAGGACCTCTCTCATTCTCTGACATTGAGTAACCGAGGAAATGCCCCCTGTAAGTATATGTTCTTTAACAGACTCCGACGTGTATCGAAGACAAGAAGCGGGTTTGTCGGATGAGACTTCCCAGGGATCAAATCTTTTCATGAATTTTTTGAGGTCTTCGGTTTCGCTTTCATCATCAGATTCAGCATAATCACATTCGTCACCACAGTCGTCCCAGTCGTTTTCCTGGCTGCTATCTGGGGTATGCCATGGCTCAATACTGAATACACCAAGCTTCTCTAGTGACTCTTTTGACCAAGGGTTCCCCGGTGGCTCCAATTGATAGAGAAGTCCAAGCATATCCGAGAGGCCGTTCCAAATAGGGGTTGCTGTAAGTAATAAGAGCGCCGGTGCCTCAAGCCAGCGCAAAGCGATTGCCGATAAAACGCCTTTTCTCCTTACTTCGTGAGCTTCATCCACAATGACTCTTTTGAAAAGACCTTTCAGATTTTGTTGCCATTCTTCTGGAGCGCTTTTCATCCGTCTCATTCTAGCATTCACAGACCGCATTGCGGAAGTATAAGGTATAGATTCATCTTTATCCCTTATTTAATCCAGCATTGATTTTTTCAAGGGGGTGGGCCCGTGTCGAAGAGTTAGGGTGCGAAGGGAGGTGATAATGGTCGTTCGCGCAGTTTCCTCAGTCTGGGAGAATACTTCGCTTTCTTTAGAGAGTATTTCTGTGAGGTACTCTGCTCCATCTGTATCACTTTTACGTTTTCCTCCATAGTATATTTTCACAATCAAATCTGACGACATGGCTTTGATTTCCGAAGCCCATTGATGAATCAAATTTGGTGGAACAACAATGAGTGTTGGTCGAGGGGCGACTACCTCTAGGTTTGATTTAAGGGCTGCCTTTCTCATATTCCAATGCTATACAAACTAGGTTAGTTGATATTAGGATAGATCATTGGTGGAGAGCTCACGTATTGTTCCAAGCCAATAGCCTCGAAAGTCTTTCCTATACCTACTTCGTCGGCTAGGATGCCTCCTCGCAGATAGCCTTCTTCAAATTCTTTAATAGCTTTTATGGCTAGAGGTTGCCAAAATTTGAACTTTGCGCTGGGAAGCATTCCCGGTAAACGGGGTATGTTTGGATTTGCAATCCCAAGGGCTTTACACGCTTCAGCATGACCCTGACGCTGCAGATCTTTATTATCAATCCACTTTTCCTGCTCTCGATACTGCTGTAAGTCCTCGCTCGTTGGTTCACAAAGTAGGAGATCATCTGTAGCTTCATCGTGCGCTTCATCTTGGGCTTCATCGGAACCTTTGGATGTATGCAGCCACTATAACTAATCAGTAGCCTTGATAAATATTGCATGTTACTTAAACTTACTCTTATATTATCCCCTTCAGCATCAAGATCTTGTTGTAAGAGTTCACACTCGCTGTTGACATGCGAAAGATAGCTGCTAGTTACTTCTTGTATCAGGGACCATTTAGAGAATCGGTCTCTCAAGTCAAATCCCGAGGATAGCCTTTCAGCAACCATAATGTCAAATAAAAGCTGCCTTGACGTCTCTTCATTTTCGATTGGAGGAATACTTAGTTCTGCGGGACATTCTTTGGCAGCCAACTGAACTAGCAGCCTATTCTTCGAGGCGCCAGCACATTTTAAAAAACCTTTAAAAGATTCGTTGAAGATAGGGTCACCATTGAAGAAAAGTTGGTCGATTTGGTATCCATGCTCCTTCAATTGGAATCCACTACAAATCTCTTCGAAGAATTGCTCGTAGCTGTAGCTGACCAAGCCGGTCAGAGTAACCATTGATTTCTTGCCTTGATCCTCCAACTCCGTCGGGATATCTGCCCATACGACACGGGCGACCCCTTTGTCCGGATTTACGGGTACGGGGATGGGTTCCTCGTCTTCGCTTTGCCAGTGATCAAACTCATGGGAGGCCTTTGCCCTTTTATTTGGCCTTTGTTCACGGTACAGATCCAAATCCAGGCGTAAAACCACTTGCCAGGCTCGGGTGGCCATCTCAACCTCACCAAAATTTCTGTTGTAGAAGATTCCATGTCTGTCTGCCTGGTTCACAGATAAAATCTTGTAGACAAGCCTGGCTTGCCAGTCTATAGCCTTCCAAGTCTGCGTATCTGGGAAGTCGCTAGAGTATTTTCGGCTCCCTCCCGCTTCACCTTCGGCAAGACGCTTCAATACCAAGCGCAAGCCCGTCGGTTTCGCCTTACTAACTCTGGATAGCTCGATTGCAGCGCAACCACGCTTATATTCGTCCCAGTATGGTTTGCATAAGTTGCCTCCCATCCATTTATGAAGCGCTGGCACTGTATCAAAGTCAAGAAATGTGGCAAGTTTATCCAAGGACTGGTAGACTCCAGTACCAGCACTCATGGCCAAGACAATCAACTGCAAGACTGGTAGTTCTAGAACTGAAAAAATTTGGGCATCGTCAGTGGAATGAGCTAAGAATTCTCTATCAAGTTTGGTAGAGGTGTATCCTACCAAAGTATGTCTAATATAAACGGGGAAAGCAAGCAACATGGTGTACTGAGACTATGTCTAGCTTAAAGGGAAGATAAGACTAGGCCGTGAGCATTCAAAAAGAACAAAGCCAGCCCTAATCTATAACATGGATATCCAGAGCTAGCAAAAAAAAAAAAAAAAAAAAAAAAAAAAACAAAGAAAGGCGTATTGATCTTAGCTCCGCTTTTATGCCTTCACAAGGCATAGTCGCAAAGTGGTTGATACCCTTTAACATCATTGATTTCTACTTAGGAGTGTATTTTGGGATATCGCTAGCCCAAAAGAAATCCTGGTATATGCATAGAAAGATCAAGAATTCCCTGTATGATTCCATTTGAAAACAGTAACGACAAGATTAACAACACAATGGGGCCTCAGTAGCGTTGGGGGAGGATGATGCCTAGCGAGTGACCCGGGTTCACAGCCAGGAGAGTCGCACCAGCCATATATTCCTGGTCCGATGGTAGTTGACAAAGGTGTCAAAGCTAGACAGCTGCGGCATCGGGGTAGTGAAATTCGTATGGGTATAGAAAAGGCGTTATAGATGCTATATGAGGATGGGAGGATGGTATTATGTATTGACCCCAGGACACCCGAATGCTCATGAACTTTTAAGCAACAGCCTGGCTGTGCATGCGTGAACTTTTTATCGACCCCTCGAAAGTGCTGGAAAGGAAAAAAAGATGAATAGGAGGCATTTTCCCTAGAATGAATGTCAGTCAACAGCAACAGGCTCTACAGCATCCAGCATCCTATGAGGAGCGAATGGCCGCGGAGGCAGAAGCAGCTGCCCAGGCACAGGCTGAAGACGAAATGTTCAGGATGAAAGAGTCGAAGATCGTTGAAGTAAATATAGAGTTTGGATGAGGCTGAAAGTAATTTAGTCAGCATGCGAGCCCCTGAAACGACGAGGAGGCAGCAACATGCAGGGGCGGGAAGAAAAGGAGACAAGAGACGGAAGAGTACGGAGTAATGCAGAGGATATTGAGTGTCCGAGTATCTCATGTCTACTGTGCTTCTATTGGCCTGCGTGATCTGATCTATGCCGGCAGCCCCCATCCTCTAACCCGTCTAAAGACAAAAGCGGCGATCATTTCTAAGCGTGAACTCTGCCCAGTCGTCTGTGAGACGGGTTGTAACTCCAGAAGCCCTTCCAAGCAAGCTTTGTGTTTTTTGATTTATGCGATCCCGCGGAGCGCAGGGCAAGGTGCATTGTAAAGGTATACTTTTGGGTCTACGCCTT